AATAAAAGATCTCGCAGAGATAAAAGGGACAAACCACACAAATTCATTTCTAAGAAAGCCAGAAAGTGGATCAATATCAGCAGGCGTATATAGAGGAAAAGCCGCGCAGGTAAGAAAGAGCATCACAGCCAAGAAAAGTACGGGGAAAGAAAGAGAGAGAGAGAGAGAGAGAGAGAGAGTCAAGTATCAATTTTCTCGTCGCAATCACGAACTTTGTCGATTATAAAATGAGCTAGTGCTACTTTAAGTGAGGACATTGGCGGGTTGAAAAAAAAGAGAAGTGAGGTGATACGCCGTTTCGACGTTACGGTCAATAAAAGACGAACGACACATCTTTTTCATTCCTTTTGCATTGACATTGCCGCGAAGCAACGCTCAATTAACACTGTTCTTTCGTCGTTCTTTTTTTTGCTCTTTATTGTCGCGCTTGTTTTGTGTGGGATTTGATGGATGAGCGAGTGCGAATTGAAGAGAAAAAAAGTCATGTTTTGCATAGGCGTCAATGGAAAACAATCACGGAGTCGTTTCGCCGCGACAAATAGATTCGTGTGGCCGCGTTGCTTGGATATTCGAGGAGAAATGGAAAATAGAGTCGACACGTGACGGTATTCGAATAGTGCGTTAATTATTGAATATAGCTTGCGAACGTTTACTCAAGTTACGCCAAGTCATTAAAGTAATTTGCATGCGTATAAATCATGTGTTTAATTGCATTTCATTCTATTAGCGCGTCAAAGGTGGACACGCTATTAAATTTGCGAACATTCACGTTTGAAACTTCACCAATTAATGAATGAATAAACATTGCGGGGCTGCAGCAACGAACAATTACGACGAACAATATGACGAATTAAAATTCGTCAACAAACTCCATCGCGTATATTGTCGTGCAAACTAAGCTTTCATACTTAATAGAAAAGTGCGTCCTTGTGACATACGAGGCTAAGGTCAGTGGAAAAACAAAAGCGCGTGACAAATTTTCCTCGGAGTGGTGAGATTTATCGGGGCACTCAGAGCTGACGATAAATCCAAGAGTCGTGGAAGAAAAAAAGTACGTCGAGAGCGAGGAACGCGGTTCGAGTTGTAAATTCTTCGTCAACGGCAGCAGCAGCAACGCGCGAAGCGTTTGTTTGACGCAAATTGGCAAGTCGAATCCTTTGACGCCTGGCGCTGACGTTTCTGCTTGGTCGCGGCAAGCTATGTACGTTCGCTCACGGGACGTACGTTTGAGAGCACACGGAAAAGCCTCGTATCTTTGACTCGTAGGCGTGGTCCGCTTTAATTAAATTTCGTGTTGGGTCTTGCAGCACGCTATGTGATATCTTCATGCAAATGTCCAAGAAGATGATTAACGGTCGCGGGCGCTTCCTGTCTGAGGAATTTCGCCGTGGACACCGTGATTACGTCTTTGAGCAATACACATTGTGCGTTATTCAATCAATGTTCATTTCAACCGTAATCGAAACGTCAAATTGGAAAAGGATTATTCATTAGCGGTCGCTGATACTGACGAATTTAATTTATCAAGCTTTTACATAGATTCTCGGCGCATTCAAAGACGTACACATTCGACGATTTATTGACTTTCCTCGGACAATGAGATTCATTGATGTTTCTACCTAACGAACCTAATTGCTCACAATTGAATGAATCTCCGATGGCGCGATGCTCGAAAGCAGGATGTTCCGGTTGGCTGATTGATTTGGCAAACGCGCCTACACAGGCCAAATCATCAATTCATCTCCACTCATTAAACGGTCTCGCTTTTATTTCGTTCGCTCGCGTTTTGCGTGCCGATACAGCGTGAGTCACATTACGGTATATCTCGTTTGAATAACTCGTTTTTGCTATAGTTTTCATATCTCGTTTATCAATTGGAATATCAGAATAGGAACATTAAAAGAATATTATTGCGTGTAAAAGTACAATAATTCATCACACCTGACGTTAACAAGATTTACAAGGTCCATTACAAGGTTTCCAACTAACTTCTTATCTTCGAACAAAAATGAATATATGTTTCATGTAATAATTAAAATATGTAAATAATTATTGTACACGATAAATTATTCTTACAAATGACTTACTTGTAACGGCAAAAACACCGACTGACAGATCTTTATACTAAGATCAAAAGTGTGACATAATTGAGTGCAGCACGCGTCCAAGAAAGACGGAAGGTTATCGGCGACAGCATTTTTTCCGTTCGTTACGAACAACACATTAGTACGATAGTAACAGTTTGTTTCGCGCGTTAGTCTACGTCTCGTCATTAACAGTTTCGCATCGCGAGTTCACAGCTACAGAAGTTTGCATAGCGACGAGGTCTAGAATTTTTACGTGGTGTGAACGCGAACGCAATGGGAGCAGCTTGTCTGTGGGTTATTCAAGAAGTATAAGTGCAGTGTTCGGGTTATGGAAATTGAGACTCGCACGCCATTTGTCAAAACAGATTGATTACACTGTGGCTCGCAAACTCTCGCGGCAACTTTGCGTTATAATGGCCTTTTTATCGGCTCTTACCGAATGAACGAGGTATCGATCGAAGTGAATTTTTAGATGTACGGCTCCTTCGGGTATTTCGTTCCGTAAGTCTGTTTGATTGATCACGCATTATTCTCTTGTTTGCGATGTCTTATGACAACTTGATAAAGCAGTTAGTGAATTAGTACCGCAAACTGCTTTCGACAGGTCGATAAACAACTTTTAAGAGCTGTTGCATTGTCAGAAATTGAAATATGTATTTGTATCCACAATTGATAGCGAATAATATTTTATATGGGTTGCTTGACAAGTGCATTGGCTGCTGATTTTTCATTTGGTATTTCTAAAATTACAAGACCTTCCTTTTGACATATTGTTATCGGTATCTTCCAATAGCGAAAAAAGAATTGTCCTGTATTTGAAATTAAAACAGCAGTTACGACAGATCGTCACGGCACACGCTAACCATTACTCATCTGCATTAAGATGCGCATAGTTATGCAACGTTCACATGTGGCAAATTGGTGTGTCAATGAGATGCATGTCGTTTGCCGACGTGTGCGCGGTATTGTTTGATTTAGCTCAACGGTTTTTTAACATACGCACACATCGCATTCGTAATGCATGGTAATTCAAAATTTCATGCGATAAGTTGCGAACAAAAGAATAACTCGGTAGATCGCTTGTTCTCTCTGATATTCACAAGCAAGCTGGCCACGGCGTGGGCATCATGTTGCAAGCGAACGCATTTTCTCTTGGCCAAGTTCTCTTAAAACCAGTACGAAGGGAAATCTCGCGCGACCGCGGGAAGTTGAATAAGAGGGACTATTCATACATCCAACGCGGCAGACCCTTCATGTATTCTTGAAGCTAGCTCGCTCTCTCCTTCTCTTTCTCTCGTGCAGTATTGAACGCGCGAGTGAAGCGTGATGCGTACCCAAGAACACGACAACTTGCCACTCACTGATTTTCATCTGTTCGTCTGCGCGAAACTAAACTTTCTTCGGTGAGAAGAGAGAGGCGAGACGGCAAACTGCCGCCTTGCGTCTTCGCATAAGCGTCAACTCTCGTAACATACTTGGGTCAATCGATTCTCGGCTTCTTTTACCGTTCCTACCCAGGTTTATTTATACTTTTTATGAGCTGGGGTTTTTATGGGTCTGTCGGGAACACTTTTTGCACGGTTGCGCCTTTCATTACGAATATCGATTAAATTGTTAAAAGTATCCAGATCAATTTGACTTTGGAGCATGCTTTTCTTCCTCTTTGAGTAGTAGTAGTATAGTACCTCGGATTCTGGTGCACAATATTTACCTTGACGTATTGTAATATACTAAGTGTACACGGTATATTTCGTACATGCGTTTGTACAGAGCCGTGCCGTTGCAGTGAGGTTCACTTGATAAATGTTGAACTAGATCTTTCTATAATTCTTTTTACAATATGAATTCAAAGATATTTCAAATTCAATATTGATATTTTCAACTCAATTGAGATGTATCAAATTACTACACGTACAGTATTATTATATTTATTGAAATTCGCTTGTTCGTCATAATACGCTTAGTTCGGTAAGCGATATTCCTCGCGAACCCGTATTTCATAAAAAATGCGACATTCTCAATTGAATACTCGTACGTCCACGAATATTTTTGCAAGAAATCTGCAAAAATTACGTGATCGATTGCAAGGGGATATGAGCGAGGAAAACTAACGGTCGCTCATCATATGCAAGCAATTTGCAAGCATATTTTGTTAATACAAAGTTCCGTAATAATCTTGGGCACAGAAGAAATAAGCCATCAACGGTGAAATTACTAAAGTAACTTTTGCAGCATGCAGCCGGCTGCTTTTTAAACTTTCGCACAATTAATTTTCCTAACGTCCGTCTCCTCCTTCCCCTTGAAGACAAATTTAACAACGAAACTCCAAGCCTTAATTACACTCTCAACAAGAGAAAAGCAAAACAAGTACAATAGGTATTATGCGCGAAAGTCCAGTTGCGCGCTCGCTCGCTTCCATAACTATTTCACTTTCTCGCAAGACTTGTTGAAAAACCGGGCAGGCCAACAATACGCAAATTATACTCCTTTTATCATTTTTCTGCTCTCTACGGCTGATGTGCTCAACATGTTTGTTAAATTAATACCAAGCATTTACCAGGGAACGGGTAAATGAATTGTAACAGTTGACGAAGAAACTTCAAGAAATTCTTTATTTTTGAGCTTACCGTCATTGCGGAATTCTGGATTGATTATTTAAATAAAATAATGCGCTATTCTATGGCGCGCCAGCTGCCTTGGAAAAATATCTGCATCTATGTTAAAGACGAAACATACAAAAAAAACAAATTTTTTTTTAATTCAAAATAACCCCGACAACCAAAACAAAGCTTAGCAAGGAGACTTTGCGAGTAGTGCCAATTACGTAATCAATTTAAAAGCAGCAACATTGCCAACAGGTACGCGTGTCAAAAGCGATCGACTAATTCTTTTTCTCTCGTTTGCGTCCATTAGATGCCGCCAGGAAACACAACGGTGGCGGGCAGCACGATGCAGGAGGACGAGCTGCGGCTGATCAAATTGGAACGCCAGCAAGAGTGCCTCGGGAAACTGGCCCTCAACTCCACTCCACCGCCAGGTCAGTCTAGCAATAAACGTTGTTTTTTTCCTTTTCTTCTGTTCGTTTTTGAATTTTATTTTTTTTTTCGCGTCCGCCTACCGAGCGGATGCATTTTTCATTAAACCTAACAAGGAAAGATTTTAATTAGATTTTGCTCTGTCGACGGTGTTGTTGTGAAAAGGTACTCTGGAGTATTAAATAAGCTCATTGCTAAGAGCGGAAAAACGAAAAAGTTTGAAAGCTTATTTGAAAAATGTAAAGTAGATTCATTTTAGTTAATTGAGATACATGCACTTTGCAAATCGAAAATTAGTTCACAAAATTAAATTAGTAATTGTATATAAAGTTTTATAAGCCAGCTATCAGTGCACGTTAATTTTTACAACGTAAATCTGTTTTTTTCCAAATGCAATATAAATTCCTGGGCAAAGTATTTGACTTCTTTTTAGAGAAGTACAGCCGCAGCTGAAATCTTTCAGACAGAGTAAATGCTTTCTTACTGAGAATTTCCTTTATAAAATTTTGCAAAGTCTTTCGTGAAACTAGGGTGAGAAAGTGGTCTCTCTCTCTCTCTCTCTCTCTCTCTCTTTGTCTCTCCAAAGTGAAGCGTAATCCTCCAAAAGGCATCAGCTCTTTGAATACCTTTTCTTCTTTCTTATTTACATTTTTCTTCGTTTGCGGTAGGACAATCTCTCTTTCTCTCTTTCACTCTGACGAACATTTGAAAAAGTATCAGATTTCACATAATTGATGAAAATAGTTTAATGATAATAATGCTAAGCTTTATGCAATTAATTTACTAAATAAAAGGGTTTTGGTCATAGATCGTTTTTCAATCGTATCAACTGTTAAATTACAAGTGTTTAAAAAAAAGATTTGAATCGAAACTTTACTCTTTTGTGTAGCTCAGCATTCTAAAATTAAAATACGCTAACGAACTATCGTCGAGTACGCAACATACCAGCAAACGAATAAGTATTTACGAGAGCATAGTTCGGAAACGAGAGGTAAGCGCATTTAACAAGACTATATGGCCGTGCACATGAATTGGAAACGAGACTGCGCATAGCGCAACTGCAACTGCAGCTCTCGAAATGCGCTTTCACATTTGCCAGATCACGCTTTTCCTCCCTCTCTCTCTCTCTCTCTCTCTCTCTATCTCTCTCTCTATCTCTCTACTACTACTACTCCTCTTACTACTACTATGTGGATGAGCATTATATTGCGAGCGAAACGGAGAACGCGAGTTAAGTAGCGGGTACCGAAAGCTCGCGAGGAAATCGATGTCGCGCGCCATGCATTTGCAGCTAAATGACCAAGGTTAGTTTAAAGTTTCATGGTATGACACCTATCAAAGTGAGATTGAATTGAAAAGTTCACCTAACTGTTTCAAATAATAGGCAAATAAATAATTTTCTTTTTTTTTTACTATAGTGCGCGAAGGCTTGATTTAACTTACCTTCGTAAAAATGTGGCAAACACAATTTAACGTTATTTAATTACATTTCATGATTTCCATTTTTATAATACACTGACAATAATTAGAATGATATAATTCGATTAATAGTTCTAAATTATAACGGTTCTAACAGTCGTTGCGAAATATAGAAATAATCTTTACTTCTTTTTTTTTATGTTTGAGCATTTCAACATTGAATGTAAGTCAATATAAAATGTAGCTGTGATATAAAAATACCATAATACGTCAATACCGATCATACTCCATCGTAAATATTCTCTTGAAACAAGTGAATACAAAACAAATTTGATCGAACTCAATGCAGCGGAAATGGCTCACTGTCGTGCTTCCACGAGCGTCAAGCTTCACGGTATGCTGTCTCTCGTGGTGGCGGTTCAAGTGTATTCCCTGTGTGCATCAGCTCGACTGTTTATAGGTAAACGTTCGCTGGTCAATTGCCGTGCACTTTCTCGAGTGTCGCGCTTGGAACGCGAACGTACACCGCGTTCCCAATCTCCAAAAAGCCCTTGGCTCCTTCCGCATACTCGACTTTTACCACTGGCGATCTTTCTTCGTATCGATAAATTTGTACTTGATTTTTACATTTCTAGAATTACAGATCTTTTTTTGAATGGCGACAATACATTCAACATATTAACGAAATATACGAAATAAGACCGACTATCAACATTTATTATAAACTTACTAATTATTAATTATAAAATTATCGGGAAAATATAACGCGATTTATATTGGTTTCTTTTCTTTCTTCGCGATCATTCAAGGTGGTTATTTTAATCTAGTGATTACTGTGTGATGTTGATTATAACACACAAACGTAGGGGTTGGTGGTCTATACTACACAGGAAAATTAGTGATAACATTTGTAATCAAGTGATTGAGATGCCGTTTGAAAAACTGTCATCAAAGTTATACCATCTCTTCTTAAATCCAGGAGAACAGACAGTTGAGAACGTTTATTTCACGTATAACGTTTAGACTTCTTTGATTGTCCATAAACATTTTCGTTTTTGTCCTTTGAAACGACATCTTGCGTTTAGCTGATTCGGCAGTGATATTTGGTTTTATGTTACTGCGCTTGAGTTGCTTTCTTTGTTCGACGTGCACAATAAGAGGGTTGAGTTGTTTTGTCGAGTGCCAATGGGTAAATGTCGAGCAAATCGCTATTTTTATTGCCGCGCTTGCTGTAATAATTCAACTGAAAAGAAAATCAATGACTTTCAATGTAAATACTTTCAAAAATTGTAATGCGAGTAGATACGTTAGAAATGAAATGAGATCATTGATCAACAAGCAGCTAAGAATTATTTGTTTTTATGAGTATATATTCAGTATATACAGTGATAGTTTTAATTCACTCGTGCACTATTGACGAATTACAAGATAACTGGTTTTGTATTTGGAATTGATATACTATCACTAGATAAGTGGTTATTGAACCTGCAAACTATCATATAAACATTATAACTCTGCAGAAAGAAAAGATAAAATGCCAATGCCATCTGTTTCGAGCTTACGAATGTGGAAATTCAGATGCTATAATTAGCGCGAAAATTATTATCTTTAATAAAAATACAACAGAGGCATTGACGAATTCCATGATTATAATCACCGATATCAGTAAAGATCCGTCCAAAGAGAGACATCCGAAAATCGTAATTTTAATATTTGTATGCAGCAGATATATTAAAAATGGATCGAGCTGAAAGATAGTTGATTTATTTTTTCACATGTGAATTAGCTGTGCTTGGTATAAATACCTTTTCCTTGAATTCGCATGGGATAATATTCAAATGATTGTTAATTATCCTAGCCGTTTTCTTACTCTATTTGAAAATATAAAAACATGGTTATATATTTCATAAGGTATGAAATTGATATATGTATTTTACCTCCCGAATAAGTGCCGAAATTGTCCTTGTCAGTACCAGCAAAAGCAGCACACATTGTAGAACGTTGAAGAAACTCACAGCAATGTCGATACCATAAAATGTTGCTTCCTTACTGAATATTGGATTGGTTAAAACGTACGTTCCTTGTAGTAATGTTACAAATGTGGAAAGTAAATCGAATGTCATGGGAAATGAGTAGAAATCGGACAAATCCTGGCACAAATTACTCAGCAATGCGTATAAGCTCCGTACCTGTTTCACTTTCGAAACAGAGTAAGCTGTGATTCTGACGTCATAGATTGCATTCATACGAAGTAACATGATTAAATTCTCATTCAACACTTTGAACAAATGTTCGATTAATTTAAAAATTATACTGTACTGGATTATAACTGCATTTTCTATTGATCGACATATCAGTACTATATTTAGAACCACTGAAAATTCAAAAGGATATATATCCGAAACGGTGACAGATCCCCAGAAAATTAATATATAAATTACAAATTGAATTAATATTTGGGTATATGGAAAGGTTAACGTTTGATTTTTCATATGACTTTTAACGTTCGCATTAATTTCAGAAATTCCATCGAAAAGATTGATCAATTTTTTGTACAGCAAACAGTACGACAACAGAATGAAAGAAATGCACACGATTATGAAGGTGTAAGCCCTGACATAAAAGTGCAAGCCTTTGTTTTGTTCTTCCGTGATTGCAATTAGCGTCGAATATATGTAAAAATAATAGAGTAAAATAATTCCGCACATGAGTATCAAGTTATACGACATAGCACAGTAGCTTTTTGTAAATATCCACTGCTTCAAAGTTCTATTGTCATCTGCATTTTTTGTGGTAATTGATATCGGTAAAACTCCACACACTTTAAAAAAATACAGCAGAGATCTTAAAATTGATCTCGAATATAATTTTAAATATACAATAAATATTTGTCGCCATGTCAAGACAATGTTGTCGAACCGTTTTTTTAAAGACATTGAGCTAAACCAGAGGCTGAATGCGCAAAAAATTGAATGCCAAAAGGAAACTGTTGTAGAATACTGCTCTTAACGCATGTTAAGCTTCTACTGTCCCACAGCAATGTGTTATATATACATACATGCTAGCAATATATATAATTGTTGTTAATTGAAAAAATTGTTAACCTATAAAATAATATTGATCTATCGCCACCAGTCGAGACACAACTACATAAATACACTACAGTCCTTGAACGTTACCACGTTCATACTATAATAATGAAAACTTTCAATAACAATTGAAAATAATTGTTCAGACATGTTCAAAGTGCAAAATATACCGATAAAATATATGGCCTAGCAAGATTAAACTAATCATTAAAGTGATTTTGCACTGAATTTTCTACCAAAGAAAAGAAAAAAATGTAGTTAATTATATCAACAAATCTTTAAAAGGCTATCACTGAATTGGGAGCATTTTCAATTTATTATAACGTAAAACAATGAAAATTTCCAATTGGCAATAGTAATTTAAAAGATACTTTCAGAGTTTAGTTTACGTTAACTCCTAAAAAATGAAAGCGTTTCTACAACAATACAGAAAATAACAGCACGTTTGATCAAGGATCTAAATATCTTCCAAATAAAAAACCTTCACCGAATTCATCTGAGTAATTTCGATTGAAATCATCAACTGGAAACATTGCAATTCAACGTAAGCTTTCGGAATTCAGGTAGAACACGCGTGACAGTTTGCGACCATCAGCTGAATATTTTTTTCCCGTTTGGAATGAGAATATTTCAAAGGCGATCTCTCGTATACCGATATAACCTGCGGCAGCTGTCACAAGAATTCGCTCCATTTCGTAAGTGACCTGCAGCGAAATTATTTTATCCGCACAGTGTGCTTGCGTTTCGAGGCCGAAACAATGCCGCGCAAATGTACTTTTTTCATTTGGACGTTTTTACAGGTTGGACGCGATAAGAGTTTAAGCTGCTTAGAAGTGTTTTACGATAAAGACTTCAAAAGACCTCAATAAATAAAGATTTACACGAGCACTTTGTCGTAGTGAGTGTTCGAAATGAAGTTACAATGGTTGAGTCGAAATAATGTAAGACGGTTGATTGGCACGCGACAGTTCGTGAGATTTACACATCTGCAATTTTTCAAATAAGAACGACAATTATCCACGAGTAAATGTTTGCACATGGGAAAAAAGAATTCAGCTTACGATTGAGAATAAATTGCCAGGTGTGTTCTAGCTGAATTACATTTACTCGTAGAGAATTGTCATTCTTATTTGAAAAATTGCAGATATTTCAGTTACACGAGTTGCAAAATCAATTTAACAAACATTATATTACACAACTTGTGACGCATTCACCTGCAAGATGCTTATTGTCTTGTTTATTAGATTGTACACAGTTGATTGTGTACGCAGCTGTTCAGATAATTTAACAATTTTGTTTTAATAAAATTAACCATTCACAAGCTTTTCTTATTAGTCACATGGAGATATGAATATTCAAAATCATAAATATTTACGCGAGATCGTTTGCGCATATATTTTCATATATGAATAAACATTTTAGTCGTTTTATAGATTAACCATAAAAAATTATGTATCTCAACAACGATCACGATAAATCGTTCGAATTTTAAGCAAAAAACCATTTTCCAAGCCATAAACTGTATGTTTTTATCAAAGACAGGCCTACTAGTTCACTTTCATAATTAATCATAGCAATCGGGTGAAATGTATACACATCGGAAACTTGGCCATTATCCTGTAGTTTGCCCATCGCACACGTGCAATTGCATCGACTTTTCCGATAGCAGCAGGCAGAGAAATAGAGAGACAGGGAGAGAGATTACAGAGTCATTGGAAATATTAGATTGCGATATATGGCTTGAAAGTTGGATTTCCGGGCTTGCGTCGATGGTGGCAGAGGCGAAGCTGAGGCCGTCAGTCATAACGCTCAAACTAGCAAATCCAAAAGAACTTTCGGGTCGAGTGTCGTGTACTATTTTCCGTGATACCCGGCCGAAAGTACGTTTATTTATACACGAAATTTTCGAAGCCTACATCAGTGCGCTCTCTTGGTCACGTCACTTTTGACTTACAGCACGCCCTCTTAATTATTTTAATTATTATTTTAGTGTAATATATAGCGCGTTGATCATAGTGTCCGCAAAAGTTCGCCCTTTCCGAAGCGAAGTCAGACCGAGAAATCGCACTTTCGATCAAGGGATTCAGGAAGGCAAATGGGGTGAAACAACCGACAGCAAGTGCGCAATGAGACAGTCTTCATTTTTACGCAACGCAAAGATCGAATACGTACGGAGAGAAGATGACAACTTAGCAATTTGCAATGTAGCTCGTATCAGTATACGAGGCATCAAAGTACGAGAATAACAGAGAATATGTCTCGCGCATTAAAACAATTGTGAGAAGAGAACGGAGGATCGCAGGCGTGGTGCAAATATCGGTCATTAGCGTCGAGATAGACTGCCTTGAAAGTGTTGAAAGTCGCGGTGTTGAAGGGCTGGTAGACGGGACGGGGAAAAAGTTTTCAACGCTGTTTGATTTGTTAATCTCTCGAATGCAATTTTTTGCGCCACGTGCTGCTGTTGGCGAAGTAACATGAGCGAGGTGAGGCAGCTTCTAAATTCGTCGAACCTGTCACGATCAGCGACGGTGACACTTAAATGATTTAGAAGTTTCATTCAGCGAGTAGCAAACAAGCGCTTCCAAGCTTCTGTGCGAGGACTGACCAAGTGAAAAGCCGAGGATGTGCTCATTTAAGAGGCGAATGTGGGTTGTAGGTAGAGCGGAAGGTCACGGCGGCCGAATTGGTCTTTGGCTACTAGTTTGCATAAAAAGCGAGCCAGTGAAAGTCGTTTCAATTTCGGTCTATGAAAGAACACGCGCGCTGTGACGTCGCGAACGCAGGTATTTATGGGAGAAAATCAGCTACGAAGCGTACGCGCGCGCACTTTGAGCGACCTGCAAATCGGAGTAAAGCCTGTTGTCGGCGTCCATAAAAAGCAGAGAGATATAGCCGAAGCGAGGGAAAGCTGTAGTGTCTCGACAAGATGCTTTTTCAGACCAAGTGTGAGGGACTTGCGAAAGCAACCTTTCCAACGGTCGTTGAGACATAATGTTTCCACTGGAGCGAAGGCAGTAAGATAACGCCTAGACTCTTTAAAGTATAAAAGAAAGCATTGCCGTCGACGTGGATTTTTGAAAGGTTGTCAATCTTCAAGGGCAGCGTCGTGGAACTCGCTGACATCAAGGATAATTCGAGCCTGTTTTCGACGGCCTGCGCGTTACGTTACGCGTTGGCAATGCTCGCTCCGACGTCATAAAGTGCACAGTAGGTATGTATACGAGTGCCGTTTGCGTAATTAAAGTAGAAGAGAATCTTCGGAAGGTCGTTGATGTAAATAGCAGAGCGAGGAGAGAGACTTAGTAAGCGAGTAAAAAATCGATTGTTTTACTGTTACGATTTTATTCGACTGAACATCTAGCCTCAACAGTGATGAACTTATTGATTAGTATACAGCACTTAGATTGTAAAATATTCTACTCGCTCGTGCAATTAATTTTTTCACTATTTTCGCGTATAAAAGTACAGTCGTAGCAAAAAATCGCTAATTGTTTCGGAGACTCGGCCGTGAAATTCGTTTGGATTCGTTATTTGTTTAAAAAACCAACGAGCGTGTCAAATAAAGTGGACACGTTGTCGAGGGGGAAGAGGGAAGGTGTGTATATATATATATATACGGATATTATTGAAATTTAAAAATTAAACATACACTTGTTATTTCGCGATTCTTCGCGGTTGTTTCAGCACATTTCAACGAAATATGCTTTCGTATGAAAAGCAATTTATTATTTTATTAAAAAACAATAACAGAATTAATTCGTTAGACTTTTAGTATTTTAAAGGTTCACATGACCGCACAAGCGTGCGTCAAGAATTTATAATCGTTATTTTTAGCACTGAAAATTTGCCTAATCGACTCGAATTTCTCACAAGCCACGCGCAATTAGTATTATGCATCTTCCTCAAACGTATAAACTACCGTGAGAACAGCCGTGCATCCGATCATTATGTGCATTGCAAATGCATTGTTCGCGCTCACGCGAGTGGTCGTAATTTTCTGACACAGAAAAAAAGAGTCCGAAGCATGGTTATCGTCGCCCAAGTCCCAATTATGATTTTTCGTGCGGCTCTGGCATCCCTTATGGGCATCAAAGGGAATGCGCGGCCACGGGTTTACCGGTATTTGGGCGCGCGCTCGCACACACATCCGCGCGGCTCGCTGCGTAACTTTGCAAATACCAGCTTTGCACGGGAGCGCCTAGAAACATGAAGATCGAATGGGTCAGATATGCCGAAAGTAATATAAGCGTAGGTGCTGCGGTTTGCCTGGCAAACTTAATGGATGTTTTTTTCCCCTCTGTTGCTTGCGGCTAGTAGAAATTTTTCTGGCCGATGAAAGCAATTTCGATGCTGCTGAGATAGTTGTAAGTGAAGACCTTGTACGCCAACGCAAAGTGTAAGCCGACCGTATCGCCAAAGGCCGGCAATCGGCTGTCTGTTTGCCCATGTAACGCTCGTACTTTGCGCGCGCTGCCAAAATCCGCAGCGTTTACTTGCTGCTTATGAAATTCCCACTATTTATTGAGAATCCCAGCGGGAAGCAACGGATATAACTGTACTTCTGTCGCTTAATTGCTTTCAACTTGCAAGTTAAAACAGAGTAATTATCGGACGGCTGTGTGGCGCTTCTATTCGCTAGTATAACTTAAGCATAGCCGTAAGCGAATTTACACTATGAGCGCCGCCATCGCAATGGTTATGAGAAAGTTATTTGTCTTCAAGTTCTCATAGTTATATATAATTTTGCATAATTACTACAACGCTTTATCAAACAAGATTTATGTCTTACAATCTATAACTTTGAAATTATATTTGTATATACTATTTAAAGGGTTTGCCTTACATTCTGACAGGCATAAATAATTAGTTGGAAATTCGGTCAAGATTGCACATGGTAATCTGTAGAATATTCTAATAAATAAAATAACTATAATAATTTCTTCTTATTGTGGAGCACTACTAGTTTTTTCTTCTGTAGGTAAATGAGTCTAACAAACGTTTTCAATATTAAAATGGTTATATGAACTGTAGTTAGTATTCCTGCTATCGCAATTGCGTGTACATCTAGTAGCGCCAGTTGCCACCAAGTTAAATCCATTGCAGGAGATCTCAGAGAATCCTTACCATTTCGGATTACAAATTCTATCCAAAAAGCTGCCGTGTCCATAGCACTCTGCGGACGGTCTCGGAATAAACCTGATAGTCTTTTTACATTTTCTCTAAAACAGACATTTATCATTTTTTCGTTCGTTCTACTTCGTCGATAATTAGGTGATTTACCTGTAAATACTGTTATTCAAAATTTCACCGAGTGCAAAATCGAATTCATCTTCAGTAACCTTCGTAATATCTAATGTAATAGCGATCTTCTTCGATACGTATGAATTGGCATTGGTCCACTGATCCACTACCAGTGGTAAACAAATCATTGGTACGCCGTAATAAATAGACTCCTGTGTTCCAAGTAAACCTCCGTGTGTTATAAATGCTTTAACGTTTGGGTGTTCTGAAATTTGAAAATCTCCATAATATTTACTGAGGCAATTTAACTTTCGTAAAAGTTTTATCTGCTCATAGGTGATGAAATTCCAGTTAAAATCAAAAACCGAAAAAGGTACGTCAATTGTTTGGAAATATTTTATTTGCCGATAAATTAAGTTTCTGATTTATAAAATAATTAAAAGTATGCGAAGATTTCATAAGAAAAAATGAAGACTTTTTTACATACGAAGTATTTTTTCTTGTGGCATCCATAGCAAATGATGAAAATTCTTTGGAATTGTAACATTCAATTCGTCAGGTTTTTCAATTCTTATCAAAACCTGTTTAGGTGCAATTTTTTCCAATGATTTGAATATTATTTCTACTTTTTCAACAGCCAGTGTTTCTATTCGAAACATGGAACCCAATGTAAAATAAACTACACCATCTTTACTTTTATCTAGCCATTTTTTCAAATTCTAAAAAAAATGGAAATATTAGCATGATAAATTATATAATTTCATTAAGGAAACAAGCTGGGAGCCTAGCAGTAAAAATTTAATGATTTCTTAATTAATGCAAATCATTCTGATCGAGATATTGACACGAAACTTATTCATCTTGATGTTCTTAATTATACGTTCTAAAATCAGAATTTTATTTTTCCAGAATTAAATATTGTATTTCAGTATATTAACTCATATTCGAGTAAAATTTTTAGAACTAGCTTCAACATATTAATTAAAAAATGTCTAGATAAAAGTAAAGATGATATAATCTACTTTATTTTGGGCATCATATTGTAGCTAGAGATGATGCCAGTAGAAAAAATAGAAATAATATTTAAATCATTGAAAAAAATTGCATCTACACAAGTTTCGATAGGCATGATAAAACCTTAAGAATCAAATGTAATAATTTCAAAGAATTTTCATTATTTTCGCTGAATGCCACAAGAAAAAATACTTCCTATGTAAGAAAGTCTTAATTTTGTCAAATAAAATCTTCGTATATTTTTAATTATCTTATAAATCAAAAGCTTAATTTATTGACAATGAAATATTACCAAACAATTGATGTACGTATCTCGGTTTCTGAGTTTAACCAAAATTTCATTATTTTCTGAGCATAGAAAACTTTAAATTTTCACTGTTAGATTTCATTTTATCCCTATAAATGGGGGGTGAATTTATTTCTCTTACATCTGGTAGATCAGGACCATCATTTTGGATATGGAGGCCACCAACTTCCACCAATCCCGTTGTCATTGGCTTAATCCCATTTAATGGAAAATATGTGTTCATCAATATTAAAGATATATTTTGCTCAAGTTCACGGATGGACGGAACATTAGGACCGAATAATTTTTGTAACAAATGATCTTGATTAGATGTATAGTAGAAATAAAGTAATTTTATATAATAAAATAAATATGTATTGACAAGTCGTGTCCAAAAATTATTTCCTTCTGGGATGGATATTAAATTATTAGGAGAAATTGCAGTATTATCAGGATTTCCGATCATTCCATGCATCCATGGATAAAGAGATGTTGTACTTATAACTACAACTGGTATGTTCCACAAATATCCAAGAATCGTAAAACAGGGATAGCATAATGTCTAAAATAAAGAGAGAATGTTATAATCTACCCGTAATTATAGTCATATCTTGAAATGTTGGCAATTATTGTTTTGAAAAACTCTGTTACGTTGTATAATTAAAATAGTTCACTTAACAATACATTGTTTTTCATTGCTAATTTATAATAATGAAAAAACATTTGATTTCATTATACATTATATGTTAACCAAAACAAGAAAGGAAACTGAAATTCTTTTATCAAAATATATTATTGACTGTTTGATTGAATTGACCGTCAAAACATGCGGAAGCTCGATTTTGATGTTTACTCGAGTGTGAGCCAAAATGCACTAATATATATTTCAGATGCATTAAAATTGAAGTACATCTGAGATGCAATTTGGATTCAACTTAAATAACTGGTGGTTAGATCGCTCATTATTCAATCAGACAGTCAGTATGTTTCATTCGTTTTTGATTATATAGTTTTAATAAATAATACTATTTTACTATATTACATATTACCTGCGTTATAATGACGTCGTATGGTATATCTTTTGGCGGATTACGTACTAAATCTAAAAATTCTGGAGCTTCCATGGATTCACATAATTTATAACCAACTTTACCAAGCATTAGAGGAATGTTTCTAGACAGCGATTGTGAATTTTCAGATCGCAATGCTTCCATGAATATTGCTATATTATTCGGAAGCTCAATAATTCTCGTATAATTTGGATGATTTTCTTCTAGAGGAAGGACACTTATTAAGTCAACTTGATGCCCTTTTCGTGCAAGTCCTTTAAATAACTGATTGAGTACCATAAAATGACTTCTCCCTTGGAATGGATAAATTCCTAAGATTCGGTAACCATTGCATATTTGAATAACTGCAGCGGTTACTAGTAAAGGAAACACTTTCACAAATGTCATTATATTTTATTAGAAATTTTTATTTACTACACAAAATCACTTTTTTGATCACGCTGTATTTTTTAACGGATTTTCTGCACTAAGTCTCAATGATTTCTGTAGTTGGTGTTTCGATAATTGAATGGTTTTGACTATCAATGTGTTCTACGTCTTAATAATCAGACGCTTCAACAGCAACTGAGACGAATAAAAATGTCATCGCTTGTGTATGTACTAGTGAACTTAAGATCATGCTGAGTCATTTTATTATCTATACTTTTCTTTTAAGCAGTAGTTTCGATAACACAAATTAAGAAATATGCAATTAACAGATTTCATTTGTCATCGAATTTTCAATAAAAGTATAAATGATACAAACAAATATATATATAATTGTATAAGTCTGTAAATATCGCTTACTTTAAGTTTCAGTTAATATAAATGTGCAAATGTTATGTGCGTGAGTAGTTAAAACCGCTTATTATCGTACATTAATTCTACCTTTAAAAAACGATAACGATATCGACGCCGATATCCAGTGCTGTGATTAGTCGATGCGTAAAAAGAGCGCGACACTTTGAATTTTATTATACTTTGAAAAATGTATATCATGTATCTAGAAGTAGTGAATTTGTGTTTCAAAAGTAAATTCAACTTATGAATAATTTACATGAATAGTAATCTGTAAGTATGAAAATACGTAGATACTGGTGTACATATAGTAAAAACAAATTTTTACTTATAATTAAACTTTGCGTGTATAATCACGTGTCACTGTAGACCCTTAATATTATTACAATACCAATTTGACATTTAATTTGTTTAACTGTGAAATTATAAATTATTATCGCTCAAGAATTTATAATTGTTTTATCAGAAGCAAAAAAAGTCGTTTTATAAATTTCTTTGTATACGTGAAGCATAATTTTCAGATTCAATCTTGTTCTAACTTGGCGTGCGTAATTATTTTTGGTATTTGAGTGTGACAGTTTATTTGCCTAACTATGGGTTGTCTAAATTAAGCAATTCGCTATTTCACAAAGTTACTTTGTTATGGTCATTGAACTCAATAGCGAAGAACAATTGTACTTGCTGAATTTTATTGTGCATAGTAAATATTGGGCGTAATAAAAGTGAAAAAGTGATCTCTTTTTCATTCTTTCGATTCGGCAAGGTAAGACCAAATTTTTTTATAGCAGCACTAGCGATCGTTTATATATTAGTTCGCAGCTGTGGAGGACCGCATTGAGCATTCATGTTTCTTCATATTCGTCGTCCGATAGTTCCGTTTGAAAACTATGATATCACGTTGCAACTGTCATACGTATATTGCAGACCAACATCAGCACCACGAATGATCAAATGAGAGTGCTTGTATTGTTTTGTAATTGAAAACTATATTAAATGGGTTCTTTTAATAATTGATAAAATGTGGTATGTAGCTCGTTAAACTTGTTTTTAAATTAAAAAAAATTGATAATTCTTTTCGTTCTTCAAAGTAATACTGTATCAATGTAGTTGGTAGCGTTTTTTATTTGTAACAGTTATATATCTCAAAATGATAAAATATTAATTATTTTTATTAAATAATCACGACAAATTTACTTTATATCATAAAAGAATAATCAAAATGTAAAGTAAATTCGTAAATGATTAAATATTAGGTATCATCCTATTATTTACATCAATTTACTTTTATTTAATTTTCATTTACCCTTTGATTAGGTCAATCTTTTTATTTACAAAACCATTTCTTTAGCCAAAAGTGCTTATTAATAAATTAAATGCAATTGATAGACATGTTACATTAACTGCCATCCGTCAACAATAATATCCTAAAAAGATACTTTGTTGTTAATTTTTTTTAATATCTATGTGTAAGATTTATGATCTTTCTTATGCTTGCCTATATAACATCATGTTGCACAGGTAATATTTCATTTTGCATGTTCGCTTAAGGGAAATCCGAATAAACGGGCAAGTGCAATATATACTCAGCCGATAAATGTGTCTTCGGATAATCGTTATGCACTGTCACGCCGTTAAGTCTCTCGGAAAATTGTAACATAAACGGAGATCAGACGGGATCATCTGAAAATGCTTGTTATTAATCTTGAGTAGTATGGTAATTATTTTTATCTTTCAGTGTTGTTGTTAGATGTGATTTTGCATGTAATATTCTCATATTAACTAGTTAACATCAATTTAAAAAAATATACGGTTAAAAAAGTTAAAAATAGGCAAAAGTTAATTCATTAGTTTAATTAATATTTATGTAAAGCTTTGCTTGGTCTTTGATACCTATTATGACTTAAAACACTTAGATGCTACTATAAATAAGTAGTCTTTCTTATCACATAACGCCATGTGCAAGCAACAACTTGAACGCTTTCACCTACTCGTGAACAAACTCAATTATTTTCATATAATAGCCAAATTTCCACAAGCCACTGAAAATTTATCAAGGCTCTTGGTATCTCTATTTGTAGAGCTTCTTCTCTATATACAGCGAAGGACCGAAAATCAATACAGAGTCTATACGCCGTCTATATTACATCCAAAAAACTCTTAGCGGCGATATTTCAATTATGCACCCTCTTTTATGGAGACGACTTTCTTTATCTCTTATAATTATTATTAAAAAAACTTGTTAATTTTTTATTATTCTAAATTTCTTATTTCTAAATCTAATTTCATGTATTCAAATGTCGCTGGACACTAGTAATATTCAAATATGTAACGGATAAAACAACTATTGTAGTTAATGTTTACAAAACTACCAATTTAATTGAAGCTTCGTCAAAATAAATATTCGACACATATTTGGATATATTTTTAATATTAAGCGAGCCTTACTATTGTTGCCATTGGTGTTGCCTTCCCTATTGATTTTTTATCAAACGGTGTTTTATGGTCTGACAAATTAAATAAAATTTTATAAGTATTCTACTACTTACATTATCTATAAAATAATTTGAAAATTTACGTAAAGAAAAATAGAAGCTCTGTAGAATAGATGTCTTAACAATCTGTCGGCATTAATTCCGATACCCCGTTGATCTATAAACCGACAGTGAGAGTCCATCAATCTTGAAAAGATTCTCTGAAAAATTTCGCTGCACGATTTCGCGTCTGCACGCTCCCATTGGGAAGCATTCGTGTGTTTTTCCGCTGCAAAATGACCTCAAGCTCGCATTGCAAGCTCTGCATTCGGTGGATGCACGGGTAAAGAAGAAAAAAAGGTACGAGCATCAACTTCCTTCCGACCTAGCATCTCATAAATATTTACCTGGCATTGATACAGAAAGAAGACAAACGACTACCATGCGATAGTCCACGCGTATAATATTCTAACGAACGTTATAATTCACGTTCTTTTTCCGTTAAATTTATGCTTTATATTTTTTCATTATTGCATTTTTTTTATGATAGTACGATTATAAATTTTGAAATACTTTATTAAAAATACAGCAACTTTCTGGACACTATTTTTTTTATAATTTAAGGTAATTGTTCCATAGTATATTTATCAATTTTCATACGCCACAAAAACATAATGAGCAGTACAATAAATATAAAATCAAATTTCGCTAATTTGAAGGAATTGATCCATCATTAATAAATTATAAACAAACAATTTTGTGAACTTTGGTTTAAAATTTAGGTTTAGAAGGAAATTAGAAAAGTTTTTTTGAGCTCATTTATTTACATTAAATTACTAACCATTATAATATGAAAAATATGGCATAAATGATAGGGCTTCATAAGTTAAGTATTTAATTTTTAACTCTATATTATTTTCAGAACCTTATTGTCCAGCACTTTTTGACGGTTGGTCATGTTGGCCCAACACTCCGGCGGGGACAACGGCCTATGCTCCTTGTCCAGATTTTATAACTGGGTTCGATCCAACACGTAAGTAATATTAATTTCACATCGAACTAAAATTTACCATATTACCATCAATAAACATCAGCAACAAAAACGCTTGGAACATTTTAATAAGTTAAGGCAGTATTTTTTATCTGGATCCACTTTATTAAAATGTTTCCCACAACTTATTTATGACTCTTACATATTCTACTAATTTTATGCTGTTATCAAATATAATACAAAATGAATACATAAAAAGTAATGACTTTTTTGTTATATTTTTCATTATAAAACTCTTAATTTACTTAGATAGTACATGAGTTTTATTTACAGATCGAAAAATTAACAGAATCTTTGAAAGTTTAACATTAACTATGACATAATAATATTTTATTATCACACGTTATTTGGAAGTATCACACGTTGTGTATAAAGGAAATAATGATTTTATTGTAATAAATTTAAATGATCTGTTGCATAATGTCATTTACCATCGATTTGATATCACAAAAGAGATTGAACTAATGGATTATCTATTTCAGATAAAATCCGAAGTATTTGACAATGTTGATTATCATATTCACTTACAATTTTTAAATTCAGCAATTTAGCAGCTATAATGGGACCATTTTTATTTTCATTTTCTATTAAACCTTCAAGAAAATTTAATCGATTTTTTATTGTTGCAGAATACTCGTAAAAATTAAAATTGCAAATGAACTCTCTTATTAATTCTACAATATGCATAAAATATTCGGGCGAGAATTTTTCCACGAGGGAGCTTATTGTTTCACTGATTCTTATTCCAAAATCTTTAAAAGAAGGTTGAGTCCGCATAAATTCTGTACACAAAAATAACATAATATACGACCAAGAATGCTTATAAGGTATTAATATAGTGGAAACCATACGATATAAATTTTCTACCAAACTTAAGTTTCCTTTGAACTTGAGCACTTGAAAAACAACAACTTGTATAATTCTATCAACAAAATTTGTCGATAATTTTCGCTTCTCTATACTCAGTCCATACCACCGCTTTGACTCATTTGTAAAACAAATCGATAAGTGCACGAGTCTTTCCTGCAAATGAATACTTGCAGGATTCAAGTAAACTTTTACAATAAAACGATCAATATTCGGTGTTTCTGCATCAAAGTTTATTAAATAAAACGCCAATACTTCTTTATAAAAGTCATTCGACAACTGATCCGTACAGTCAGGTTTGAAATTTTGAAAAAATCTGTCAAGTAAATCCAAAGCATCACGAGTGCTCATTCCTTTGCTAATAAACTCTTGCAATTTATTAAACGTTTTTTCTGCGTATCCAGCAGCAAACTCAAGTGGCACTGATTTAAACCCCATGAGATCTTCAAATATATTATCTTCGTGAATTGATAAATCGTCAATGCAAGTGCTCATCAATTCCCATGAGTCTGCACTAGGTCGTTTGGAAAAAAGTGTTCCCACCCGATCAGCTAACATTTGACGTATTAATGGATGTTTTACTACGACCCACATTTCTTTAAAAAATTCAACTAAGTCACTTCTAGCTGCCATAATATTCATTACGCGAATAGCATGTCTTTTTAAAAACAATCTATTAGCAGCTAAATTTTTAGACAACTTTATCATTTTCTCGGATGATGTACGATACGCTACGTACGACCATAATTTCAGACCATCATTTATATAGTTTTTAAATGAATACATATAGCTAGCTGTTAAGTATTTCTCGACTAGATAAATAGGAATTGGCGTGGTTGTATTTTTGACAGCTGAAGTAATCTGAATAGCGTTCAAGTAAATGGCGTTGTTGTCTTTATTGCTTTCGTCGGGCAGTTGCTTTTGAGCTATTTTAAAAAATGTTGGCCCATCAACCAGATATCCAATAATGTGAAAATTATTTTCTTCTATAGATCTTTCTACAAATTTAATTGGGATTTCTTGATACCAACGTAAGGTTTTCAAGAAAAGCTTTACTCTCCGGCGTTTTTTCGTATTAACTTCATTTTTACAACATTCGTAGTATTGAGGCCAATTTTCCTTAATAACGCTGAAATTTCTTTTCAATGCTATTATAGCTTCTGTAAGATATATTACTTTTTCCTTGACTTCTGATGAGCTTTTCACTGAATCAATAGACGAATCACCATCCGTATTATCAGATTTAACAACATCTCTCTTCTCTTCACTCTCGTCTTCTGTTTCTTCATCCATTTTTTCAATCGTTTTTTCACTTCTGATTTTTTCAGTTACTGCTAGTTCTATTTGTTTTTCATCTTTATCCGTTTCCATTTTTTCATTTTTTTCGCTCTTTTGTTTATCACAAAACCAAGATTTAAACAGCTCCGGTTCGTGTTTTTCTAGTTTTTCTTTAGTATAAATTATCCAACTTAATGTTTCATTTTGTTCATCTTTGATCGTTCTCTTCACGATTTCCAATAAATGTGGATAATCTTTCAAAGATAATCTACCTGTCGATTCATTTGTAAAACCATGACGTTCATTAAAATTATAAATACCTTCTACTATATTTTTCTTGTAGTCCATATTGAGCCAATAATTATGCTTAAAACAGACATCTAAATACTTTCTTTCATATTCTGCTTCATCTTCAAGTAGTTTCCATGATACACCAACGCGCCCTTCTACAAATAATCGAACAATTACTTGAATTATATCGTCGTATGGTAGGTCATGTTTGATACAATAATGAACATTTTTTTTCAGAATTTTTATAAGAACCCAATAATCTCTTGCATTTTCTTTTTTTAATTTAATTCGCTTTACTAAATTGAACAAAATCGGCCAATATTGATTATCAAAGGTATCAAGATCAAATTCTTGGGTTATACGATCAAGCATACTGCATATAACTTGAGATCTTTCGTTCTTACACTTTTCATCAAGGAATTTTAAAACTTCAAGTAAAGCGTCTTTGCTTTCATTCAATTTACATACATAAATGAGTTGTGAAAATATCTTTTGACGCTTATTTGATCTCCAATTTTTCGCCATTTGAATTTTTAAAGCTGAAATAGCCTCGTCAATTGGTAAATAACACCACCAAGTATTTTCAGAATCAAACCCATCGACAACTTTGTGCCCAACTTCGATGATTCGTCGAGCTAAATCAAAACGTTCTTTTTGCGGCAATAGTAATAAAAATTTTGTAGTCATTTTTTCAACTTTTTCTAAAATATTAAAACCATATTTTTCTTTTACTTTATTCTTAATGAGAGTAGCTCGTTTATCTTCTGGATAATATTCTAGATAGTTCAACATATTGTCTATATTGAACATATCCCAACGATCTTCCATAATATTACCAAACATTGTTTCAAATTCTTCTTGAGTTAAATTATCATAAACTAATTTTATAGGCATTAGATCAATTACTTCTCGTGGCCTTTCAATCAAAAATTTTTTAGCATGTTTTAAAAGCATCTTTGTTCGTCTGTTTCCTAAGTTTGGTGAAATTCTACTAATTTCTTGCATATCGATAAAAGTTTCCGGATGTTTGGTTATCAACAGTGGCATGAAATTTTCATACTCATTGATATCGACAATCTTAAACATAATTCGATCAGTTTCATCTCGTCTCCCGTAAGGATTCGCAAACCTCAAATAACGTAAGACGAGATTTGGATACTTTCTGTAAAGGTTTTTTAAAATTTTATTGGATAAATTAATTTTATGTTTAACCACAGCTTTGTAAATAAAATCACTTCGGCAAGCTGGCAAAAGAATGGTAGCTTCTTGCACGCCGTAAGTATCAACAATGCCGTTAAAAAAATCTTCAGCTATACATGGTTCGTTCTCCAAAAGGCATACAGATAACTTTTTTACAATATTTCTACGCGTGAACATTGAGACATAAGGAAAGATTGCTTCTGAAAAATATTTGTAATTAGTTATTGATTTATCACTGCCATCATAAAACCATCGTGCTCTAAGAGCTTCTGTTATTAAATATATATCGTCTGATTTTAATGCTTGTATTATGAGAGAAGGTGACTTTATTTTGACACCAACAAGAACTTTTATTAAAGGCACTAAAGCATTTGGCACGGTAGCAATTGCATTTTTTATATCCGATTGATTTTTCGCAAAATTTACAATATGTTGTACAATACGGCCAATTTCTTTAAATTTATCTGTTTGAGTTTCACCACTGATTTTTTGTATAGCAAATAAATAACTGTCAGAGAGGTCCTCCATTTTGTGACAAACTCGTGTAACTGGAAAAAAGTAAAAAATAAAGTAACTTTAATAAAGTAGCGTCAGAATACGTGCATCGAAACAAGCAATGTATTCCCCAAGTGCGAGACTTATAATTACGAAAGATTATTTGTGGAATAACATTATATATAATTTAATTATTAATAAATGAAAGATTCTATTTGTTTAATATTTTTCATGAAACAAGAAAAATGACTGGAGAAAACATTTCAATATTACTAGGGTTAAAAAAAATGAGTTTGATGTATGGTGGGTCATGCCGCACTTGGCGACGATAAAAAAAGTTACCTACACATGGTTATGCCGTAGCGAATTTGTTAACTATACATGTTTTTGATGTTACTTTGACAATGCATAATATGAATGAATAATATTATTATTACTTATTTGAATATATTTATCTGATCTTCATATGTTAAAAGCCAAACAATAACATGTTTTTATTCATAACAAATTTATCTATATTTGTATGAACAGATTTTTAAAGAATATGAAATTAAGGGCTTATTAATAATGCTTTTTTAAAGGAAATGACTTGATAAGTATAAATCTAAAAAATTATTGTCAGTTTCGATAATCTTACTAAATCTAATAAATTGTTGAACCGTCAATCAAATTCTAGCAAAATACATGATAAACAACATAAATATGTCTTTAAAAAATGAAATAAAATATTACGCACCTGCGAAAAATGATGACCACTCAAAGTGTCATTTGTTTATGCTCTACAGAAAAATGTTAATGCATGCGTTCTCACACACTGCTGCATGGAATCTCACTCACAATTACAAACAGACTTTCAAGGTCTCTATACGAATACCGCTTGAAACGTTACGTCATCAGGCACGCACGCCTGCTTCGTGGCCATGAATTTTTTATTTCATGATCTAATATCACTGACACTTCTTACATCTATAGCTTTCTTATCAATTTAACCAATATAAGAACCCTAACAATAAATTTACAGTAGCTAAGATCTCGCGACCTAATAATTGCAAATAGTAAATGCTTTTGCACTGCTCATCAGTGACTTCAACTAACCAGCTGCTCGTTGCTGACGCGAGGCAATGGAATATGGAGCGCCGGAACAATTTAACAGCGCATGCGCTTTCACCTTTACAAGAAGCGCCTTAATATTGTATACTCATGAATCAATATTTTCCGCCATTTTTTCGAATATTGCCATTTTGCTTATTGGCGTTATCTTGAATTATCAATCTGCTATAAAAAGAAAATAATAGAGTAAAAATTAAATTATTAAATAATTATTCATTTTTCTTTGTGCTTATAAATTATTGTCCAATTCATGTGTATTATAATACATACAGTAATGTCAAAGCTTATAAATTTGTTGGTAATATTTATAATTTTGAAAAATATTAAGCGAATTAAATTTACTCAAAAGAGAAGCGAGAGAAAATAAGAAAAATAATAATGTAACAAGTATTCGTATGGAATTATCAGCGTTACGTTTTTACAAATTTTTTCAACTACTCATTATTCACACTGATAATCTGGATATTGTCAAGAGAATGCATATTTAGCTTATAAATTTTCTTTTTGCGGGTTGCAGCATCATTTTCTAGAAATCTATACTTAAAGTCTTCAGTTCAGCAAGTTTTGCGTTTTATAAGTAGCTACTAAATTTAGATGGGAAGAAGCGATAATTTTGTCGTTGAATGCTGATAGAAATTCACTTCTAGAAACCTGGTAGTGAATCTGACACTTTCACTTTCGTCAAGATGTAAGAGTTATATATTGAGCGTGCAAACAGGTGGCTATCTATATTAACTAGATAAATTTGATGAAAAAATAACAACATTACTTTTTGTAAACATTCTTAGGTTTTTTTGAATAAGCCTATAATTTTATTGAATAGTTTAAATGAAGGCATAACTATAAAAGATATTGTGTTAGAGGTTCACAAAATATATTGTTATATTCTTGAAATTATAGAGAATTAATTTTAATTGTCAACTAATGGCAAGAAAAAGTCTGTGAATAAATACATATCAATCATCACAAATAGTCATAATAGTACTTTCCAATAGCGTCAAACGTATAGTTTTTTTTTCTTAATTCTGGGGGCTACTCGATTCCAGCAGTAAATGAAGCCTTTTGTAAAGGCCGAATATTCAGGCAAATAGCTTGTACAGCTTGGTATTTCTGTGCAAATGACTATTTCGTCGTTGGCTTGTGTCAGGTGCAAATTGTTGATGGTTCAGTAAAATGAGTACTGAACTTGAAACCATTTGCACCGAGCTTTTTATATCATAGTTATTTTAGTGTAAAAAACTTATATTGAAAAAACCAGAGCTCTAAACTTTTGGAAAATGCGGAAAATCGAGAAAAGTTCGACTTTTCTCGGAATATGTATCTCCGTAATTTTGCCAATTATCGAAAAAGTGAAAAATAAATAGTAAAATATGACATTTTACATCGAATTGTATGCTCATTTATTTATTTTGATCCTTTATTAAAATATAAACTGCGAATTTCCCGATCTCGAATTCGTCGCCACAGCAATTGAGGTTCTTTAATGGCTGCTGCTCACTTGCAACCTACTACAAATACGTAGTACGTATTGGACATAAACCCTGGTGAGATCTATTTGAGCAAAAACAAATTGCCAGCTGCTCGAAAGTACAATGAAATCACATAACTCCACTTTCTACATACTTGCTTTGTTTTACAATTATCATTTTTTACTGTTGCTATTTATATCAACAGAAAAATTACGAAAGAAATTTATTTTCGATTGTAATTAACATAGGCAAAATGTATTATGTGCAGATGGGTTTAACGGAATTAGCTTCATATAAAAATCCTTTGGCCGACTGGCTTCTCGTTTTCCCTCAACTAGATTTGCAAGCCAGGATTTATAGCCCGACGCGCACTACGTGCAGCAAAGTGAGCAGCAGCCGTTCAAATACCGACGGCTGTGACTAAGAAGCCCAAATTGGGAAATTCGATGTTTATTAGACACAGTGAAATTAAAATAAATAAATGAGCATACAGTTCGGTGTAAAATTGCACGCTCTACAATTTTTATTGTTCACTTTTTCAATATTCGGCACGGTTACGGAGATATTCCCGATAAAGTTAAACTTTTCTAGGTTTTCCGCATTTTCCAAAAGTTTTGAGCTATGGTTTTTTGAATATAACCTTTCTATGCTAAAATAAACATATAATATCAAAAAACCAGCTCGGCGTCTTTAAGTTGAGCACAGATTTTACTAAACTATAACGATAACAAAGATTATGCTACGATTGGAAGCTGCGACACGAACGTATTTGAAGAGGAATTGCAGCGATTTACCTCCCTCGGGCAGAGTGATATAGGTGGATGGTGTTTTGCACGTTATAGTTGACCAGAGCGGAAGATAAGAAGCTGACCAGATATCCACGTCGTTGGTTAGTGATTTAGCGACTATTTGATGTAATACTTCGCCGGAGCGTTTCCAGTTGCCGGAATCGATGACACTATCTACGTAGCCACAGTTGTTTCGTAAACACCAATACTTATCCGTTGCTTATAAAAATCTTCGCATACTGGACACGAAAGTTAGGTTTCCTAACGCGGATTGATATTGTAGCTGTATTTCTTTTGATTCCCTCTTTCACTAGTGTTATTTAGCACGCTTCGCGGCCTCTTTCTTTCATGTTTGTCTGTTATTTATTACGTTATTTCGACCTTTTACATGCCAACTTGGAGGTAATAATGGGTACGAATAAGTCACGCTGTTTCAAATAGACTACATATGTACATCAATATTCGTTAATGAATAAAAATAGAAAGGAAAGTTTACTTAATATTTTTACATGTTAAGAATTTTGCAATGTTTTATCAATTCTAATGAAATTTAATTTATCAGATCGTAGACTGTGCATATTAATGATTATATTTATCAAAATCATCAAATATTGTTCAATTATAAGTGTAGTCATTTAAAGATGATAAGAGAACATTTCTTTCGAAATGCCATATTTTTACCACCAGAAATAATATTCAGATCAAATTCAAAAATATAAAGTAACGAAAATAAAATTCATTAAACAGTAAACTTTCTTAAATTTACTCAAATCATGACTAATTAAGATTAGGTTCTTAATTATATTTAATATTTACACAGCTGTTAAAAAAAAATGTCATTCTCGTAGTAAATTCGTGAGCAATAACCATCTCAAATCGCAATACAGGACCACCCGTTTTCATTTCATTACAGCGTCAACACTTTCATACCATTCAACATTCTGATAAGGTACTTACGGTTGGTTTGCATGTATTTGCGGACGAGTGTCGTATCATTGAAGAGCGTCATGAATTGAGTCCTTTGTTGAGCGGTATCGTAGACCGTTTCAAAGGACACTTTGGCTGAGAGCGGACTCGTCTTCAAAGCTGCTTTCGTCGTCGAATTCATATCGGCTTTGACGCTCTAGGCCTTCAAATGCATTCATCTACAAAGTACCACATCTGTTTGCAAATAAATTTCCGTCGATTTCAAGTATAAATCTTCTTTTTATAATTTGTAAAATGTGTAGGCTAAATGACTAGCAAAGCTTCGTGATTTTTAAATTATCAATTGGTAAGATTACATCCTTAAACAGCAATATTAATCTAATGGTCCACTTACCGCGGCATATAGCTACCTGTCAAGCCATTCACAGCAAGTTTATCAATAACAGACAAGAAATAGATTAAACTTATTTTTTAGCCCATCTCGTTAATATTCTTACTGCTCTTGCTAATTGAACAGGAAAATAAAAGGAATTTTCACGAATTATAACATGATAATATCGAAGCTTTATCCTATTAAGGAATCTGATCCCACCCGATTGCAATTCCAAAAAATTTGCTTGCAATATTGAACGTACACAGTAAGATTGTTATTCGGGATATCGAGTATACGCGCGGCCACTAAATATGGTTACAACCACGTATTGAGTAGTATTTTTTTTTGCAATTAACCTGGGTAGCTCGTTGTGCGGTAGACGCAATCCAGGCCGTCAATTCTCCACTATAGACTCCTATGGCGCGTTGAAACGATGCAGGGGGCGCGGCGCGCCTGACAAAACATTGACTCTCGTCACCCTTCTTGCTACGCTCAAGTATTATGTCCGTGCACGCGTGTTTGCGGCTAGAGCGTCAAGAATGAAAATAACGTTACATAATTTACAACTTCATTGCCTGTGGTATAGCTATTCACTCGGGACGAGGAATTATTAGACGCACGCTAGATATATCGAAAAATATTACAGGTGGAACATTGTACCCGGGCCAGTTTCATTAGATTTATGAAAATATTCCTGCTTTTTTCTTCTTTGAAGGGTCGTAGATGAGATCAAGATATCTGGTAAAGATATCGAGTTTATTTCTATAATTTCTATAATAAGCTCTGTAATAAAATTGAGAAATCTATGAGTAGTCGAGGAAAAGAGTTGTTAAAATTTTATTTGTTACCAGTGCCCATACTTCGATACCTTCTGTCACGACCGATAGCTACGTACGAATTTCTGCATGTAGGCTGTGCGGTGAGCCTCGCATAATTTGCATATATGAAATGATCGGCCAGCGCGAAATTCGCCTGATTGCAAAGGGATTTAGAAGATGCGGGAAGTCCCTTATCGGTATGCGAGCCCGTAGCCACATCCAAGCTCTGTAACCATGAAAGGGCTGACGTGCGTATTGATCCAATGTATATTTATGCGACAGAGAGGTAGATTTCTTAGTGTGTTTGGAAAGTAGCAAGTGGGTCATTAAGGAAAACCTCGTCAGTGTCAGTGTTAGTGTAAACCTCGTTTATTTTGATCAACCGTGACACAACTGGAGCTTTTTATCTTTGAAAATTCATACTAACAGTAGAAAGTTGCGTTTATTTATTTTCCGCCATTAAAAAATTCATCGATACAAAGGTTTAAAAGTGAGTACATTTTATTAGCTAAATTATCAGCGTAATAAGTCTTACAAACTAAACAAGCTGCGAATAATCACGTGAATTACGAAAAATATTTTAAAAAATGAATGCGCATGTTGCAAATAATAAA